TTGAATTAAGTTTATTCTGAAAAATATATATCTCTTACTTATATAAAAAGACAAATAAAAGAATAAGCAATGATAGAGTGATTTGAAGATCTTTTTAATAGAGAAAGTTCTACAAATCACTACTCTTAATTCAAAATAAAACCCAGATGGAAAGCATCTACTCTTTCTATATCTAAGAAGATATGGTCAACTATTTGCCAATTAAAGCTTGGTTATAGATATTTCAGATTTTATCTAATAAGATTATCTGACTACTCTTTCAATTTATGCTATTTCTGTAATTGTGTTGAAAATCTAAAGCATCTACTATTAGACTGCTCAGCTTATTATACTAAAAGAAGAAAAATTTAACAAGAACTTGATATTTCTTAACTATCTTTAAATTTTATTTTTGAAACTAAATTAAGCTTAAAATGGCTAGTTTTATTTCTGAAATATACTGAAATAGCTACTAGATAGTAGCTTTCCCAAATATGCTAATTTTATTTCTTTTTGATTTGTATTACATTGCTACAAGAATTATTATTTTCCTTTAAAATTAATATTATGCTCTATCTGCTATTTGACTTTTGTAGAGAAAGAACATCTTATATTATCTTGAAATACTTTGAATTTTTTTCTTTATTCAGTTTCTACAATGTATACTAAGTAAATCCTAACAGAGAAGCTGTTAGATAGTCTTCATAGTCACTGACTGTATAAGACTATAATGAATAATAATAATAATAATAAATAATAAGATCCATATATTTCAGAATTATTGCTTTGTTGTCTTGCTCTCAGTCTTTATTTTATTTAAGCTGGTGATCTACAGATCTGATTCATACTACATACTTCAATAAAAGCAATAGTTTATATATATTTTCAGAGTTATTCTTTGTAAACTTTCTTTATAACTTTTTGATAAGCTGCTGAATAGCCCACAGTAATACAACAGCAGACACATCTTCTGTAGACTTTAGATTCTTTAAGTTATTACTGAGTTCTGAAATCTGGATCTGAATATCTGGAAGTTTCATTTTCTTCATTACATTAATATAAATAAAAGACTTGATCTTGTATACAGGGTCTGTTCTTTTAAAGAAATTAAAGTACTTTTTGTAAAATGTGGTCAAAATGTGGTTAATATTATCTGAATACATTCATTCTTATAGTGCATCCGTCATCAGAAAGTCAAGATATCCTGCAAGTTTGACTTGATTTTTGTAGATTCAACTACCACTAAGAACATGAACTTCAGAAATCGTGCTTGGACAAAGATCTTTAGCTTTCACTGATTTGTAAAAGTTTGATGTACTGATTTTCTTGCTTGAAGCAGTCAGAGCTAGAGTGAGGGCTGTATTATTTATTTGCAAATAGAAGTTACATTGAATATCAGTATAACAAAAGAAATAATATAGTAAATATTAAGTCATACTAGCTATATAATGGAGATCTGTCACAATAAGTCAAGTAAATCTAGCCATGCAACACACAAAATTGTTTAAAGAAAATATCTAGTAATGCTCTTGAGCTCTATATCAGCCTGCTAAAAGTATCTTTAAAGCTTTTTTTGCAAAGAGAATCTCACAAGAAAGTCTGTATATTGCTAATCTCTAGTTAGCAAGCTTATAAACTCTTTCAAGATTGGAATTTGTAGCTGTAGAGAGCTTATCTTTACTGATTTGAAGAGCTGGTGAGCTTGTAGAGTAGCTGGCAAGACTGTGTAGATTAGTAGTTAGAGAAAAAGTTGAAAGGAAGATTATAGCAAAAAAAATAAAGTGTAGATTCTGGATCTAATTAGGAAATTTAAAACAACATATCTTTGTGCTGTACAGCTAGAAAAGTAGCATGTTGAGATCTAATATCCTTATATTTGAAGTAGAAGCTGTGAACCTTTAGCAGCATTTCTAAAATACATGCTACATCTTACAGCTAGATAACAGCTCAGTACTATTCTATATCAGAGACTCTATAAGTTGAAGCAAGCTGCTAGACTTTGATATCAAGCAGCTACTGGCTATCTGAAATCTCTAAGATTTCAGATCTCTCTATACAATACAGGGCTACTCTATCACAAGAGAAAGCAAATCTACCTAATTCTACATGTCAACAACTGCTGTATAATGAGACCTAACAAAGCTAAGATAGAATAGCTCATCAAGAAGCTTCAGAAACACTTCAATATCAAGAAGATTACAGAATAAAATTATTATCTAAGCATGCAGATTCAAAAGCAGCTGAATGAAGATCTTTTTGTGAACCAGAAACAGTATATTAAAAATCTACTGACTAAATATGAAATAGAAGACTGTAAACCTTTCAAAACACTAATAAAGAAAGAAATGAGCATCAAATTCACATCAGATCAGATTTTCAAAAATGAAGTTGACAAGCAGACTACATCTACAAATTACAAGAAAGACCTGGGCTCTCTACAGTTTCTAGTTATGTGTACAAGACCAGCTACTGCATTTGCAGTTAATTATCTGGCAAGATTCAACAGCAGACTTAATAGAGAGAGCTGGACAGTGTTCAAGCAGATTCTATATTATCTCAAGAGCACAAAGTCAAAAGAAATAGTTTTCAAAAAAGATATAAATTCTGAAGGCTTGAAACTGGCAGCCAGTTTGGATTCTAACTGGACTGGAGCCAATCCTGTATACAAATCCGCGGCGAAGTTGACGGAGACGCTGCGGGTGATTGGAAAGCTGGTGAAAGGTAAATTTCCCAGAATTTTCGGCCATTTCTTGTTTCTGCGACGTGACGGTTCTACCATCTCAGCATTCTGTTACTTGAGAGTTTTAACAAGTGCTATATAGATATTAGGATGCCATCTAGAGTTTACAGTTTTGCACCATGCCACACTCCCTGAATGAATATCATTGTACTCCGTACGGAGTACAGATCTCACAATTCACTCGATGACGTCAACCACCTGAATCGAGTGATTGGCGGGGCATTCTCTGACACATCGCCGCCAATGGTCGATCGGCGGGGTACCCGCAAAGCCAAGACTGTGGTGGCGTTTTTCCGACACACATTTTGCTCCATCATTTCCATGCGACTTCATTTGGATTCCTCGTCTTTACTTTGGTCTTGTTTTATTATTATCGCTCGCCAGGCTTTTTTGAACTTGCTTGCACAGGATCATGAGTAATCTCGATATTCCCCGGCATAGTTTTGCATGTTGCTCAAGCGAAACAATGAATAGATCATGGTAAATTGTCAACCATGCCGGGAGCCGAAAAAATAGAGTCAAGGCCCGGACGCTCTCTGTTTTTCTCTTATCCCAAACTTGATCACCCCAGCGGGACTTTATTTACGGGATTTTTCGCGGAAGAGCGCTGCGGAGCGGTGACTGAACCCCGGGGCTCACAAGCCAATGGAGCTTGTAGCAAGCAGCCTTAAGTCCACACACGCCTTAAGGCCGCATTCCATAAACCAGCGAGGCCCTTAGACCAGTTGTTTGAGTCACCGGAGCAGGCACAAGTCCCGACGCGCCCGTTCATCCAACGCTCTTCACTAAAAATCGAACTTTGCTCTTCCGCCTGAATTCACAGGGTACTAGCAAGTTTTCCAGCGCCCTAGGAGTTCATAGATTTCCAATAATGGACCTGTGGGGACCTGGGAGCATCACCTTTGGCCTGGCTGACTTGTGGGCGCCAAAGGTTTTAGGTCACCCTTCTGTAGCGCGAGTGCGTCCAAAGTCCTCCAGTCAAAGGCCCCTGTGTTCTGAATGCTGATGTTTACTCCTGCCATCATAGCCATTAAGGACTTGTGAGATGGACTCGCCCTTTAAATTTCATGAAGACGGTGTTGGTACCATCCTCGACTGCTGCGTTGCAGCATTGTGTAGGTGTAGAAGGTTGCTTGCCAGTTTTGTGCATATTTATTGGCTACATGCTCATGTCGGACGGCTTTGATGAGTCAACGTTGTCCATCAAAGTACACAGAATACCAGTCAGAATGATCCCAATCCAATAGCCAAAGCTGAATATCTTTCATCAACAACCATATTGTGTAGCGTGAGGTCTTGATGAGTGAATACCATGGGACGTGATGCTGAGACACAAGAGAGGCCAAGGACCAATTGAAGAGCAATAGATGGGATGAAAATTTGCTCATATCCCCAAAGATAATATTGCCTCACTCATTTCTCGTCATTCATTGAATACTAATGAGCGTTACCCATTACACTGTGGAGTTGTAGGGACAAGAATCTTTTGTGAAGGAGGGGCGGCCAATAGAGATATTTCCTTGACGTAAAGGCCATGCGTTGGCAACAATCAGAGGATGCATCAATCATCACTTCATCTGGCAGACTCATGCATGGCGCCTGATTTGGAGATAACATGCAGCTAAAAGCACAGCCTGCTGCTCCCTGAACTAAACCAGCAACTATCTGTGGGCCCTAAGGGGTATAAAACGGACAATTCCTAGAGCAATTAAAGGGAGTTCAAAGCGTCTCCAGTTTGAGCCAGATCTGGATGGCCTCCTAGACACGGCACTCAAACCTGACCATAATCCACCCACCTCTATCCCCGCAGATATTACAATAACCCATCCAATTCACCGTCTGAGAAGGGTTTGTACATCTGGTCTTCGTACTATACACTGCTCACAAGGAAGTAGACGATCGACCTCCTATTTACAAATAGATATCTCGGATTCGGAACCGAAGAACGGAAAACCTCAAGATGTCTGACAGAGAAGATTCCAACAGGCAAGATCCTGATAAAATCAGTATCAATGAAGCCACGGTGGGAGTCAAAGCGGATGTCAAGACTCTTCAACAACTCACTTCCTCGGGGAGGGCTGCCCAGGAAAAGCGAGCAAACAACCAGGCTCAAATAGGATTCCAAGCTGTGGGTGAAGCTGTGGAAAGGCATTTAAGGGAGGAGGGGAGCGCAACCCAATCTAGAACCCAAGAAAATCGCTGAGGATCAAGCCTGAGAAAGATGTTACTGACGTGAAAAGCCAAGCAGCTGCTACAAATGTGTCAATTATAGTGTAATCAATCATAGCTGTTTGGCCTCAGTGAATGCCAGACGAAGATCAGTATCATACTGTTTCTTATCAGCAAGTTTTCCAGCAACAAACCTGCCAACATCCTTCTCCCAATAGAAGGGCATAACCTCGCCAAATTCCCTTGATTTGCCTCCTGCCAATAATGGTTGGATATGCCTATAGAACAATCCAAACAGGCCAGTCGGGCTAGATAAAGCTAGAGTATACCAGAAAGTGCCTGTAGTCCATGCCTGCTCCATGACCTCAGACAAGAGTGGCAAATCCGAGTCCTCTCTTGTGACACATTTGGATATCCTTCTTTCTTCCTCCACAAGAGCAGCCATGAATTCCTTCCGAAGCGGATCATACTCCTCTAAGAGCATGTTGTCAACGCTCTTGTTTGTCAACCAGTATGGAGGTTCAACCATCTCAATTGGCCGAGCGCATGCCCATTCAAGGTCCACGAGACATGTGACATGCCAATTTTTATCGACAAATATGTTGCTTTGGTGGAGGTCTGGTAAAGAGAAGACAAACGGTCGACGGCGGAATTCCCGCCGGAAAAACATCGGAAAAAGCGTTCGCATCGCCGCCAATGCCGCCATTTGAGAAACACAATCAGGTATATCATTCACCGCATTAGGTTGCTTATGGAGGCGGCTGTCATGGGCTCCAAGAATATCCATAACATACGACTCGACCGTAGAGTATGTGAAATCGCGGTGTATGTGGGTTGGTATTTTCTCGTTCTCCAGTATCTGGATGTCGAATGAGAGGGGACGATTAACCAGCCTCAAGTAACCATTCTCGTCAATGATGAAAGAGCCAATTCGAGGCAAGGGTTTTCGGCTGATATTGAGCAAAATCCGGGAAAGGCCTCGAAAAAGGTTGGTTCGTCGCTTGATGTCCTGCTGACCATCAGACCATGTGTTTGAGAGCATTGCACCTTGTCTCCCCTCGATGAACTCAATCAGCATATAACCTGTGGTAGCCATACTAGCCATCGAAGCCAGAGTTTTGTCTGAGTGCCGGGCGTAAGCAGATGGCACAGATCTGCCAATCCAGGAGAAGATCTTGCGACGGAAAAGTTGAAGCCACCGGCTTAAGAAAGGTAGGTTCGCAACCCGAGTGAACTAGACAACTAATGTCAATTGTGGGCTTTAAGATGGGTAAATATTTGGTCCCATACTGTTTCGCCGGTTGAGAGAGCAAAGCCATATAACTGAGGAATCGGTACCTCCGGGCAGTTTTCTTGGAGCCACGCATAGGTGCCAGCTTCACATTGAATCTTTTCATTCCCGTTTCCTTCCTGGGAAGCTCCACCAACTCGGTATGGAAGAGGAAATCTCAGAAGGACACGGTTCCCAGGCTGCTCCTTGCACTTCCAGTTATCGATAGTCACCGGGACACAAACATTGAAACTGCCATTCAGCCAATCCTGTCTTTCAGCAATATGGCAAACATCGCTCGATGGCAGGCCCAAGTGGTGGGCAACTATTTGTTTCATCCAAGAACGGTTGTCATTCAGGTGAGAGAAGAAGCTGTTTTGTTGCTCATAGTAACCAAGTTGATGAAGAATATTGACTTCTCGCTCTTTAGCAACTGAATATGTAATTTTCTCATTGAGAAGATGGAGAACGCTCGGCATGACAACAGCTAGGAAATGCATTCAATGAATGTGTCGCCATGAAGTGTGTTTTAGTGAAAGCAAGTAAATGATAGCTTGTTCCAGAAAGGGGGTGCTGTCACATGATATAATCAGTCCGACTATAATACCGCGAGGCGCATGGACCAACCAGCAGCCAATTACGGATAGTAAAGAATGATCTGCAGGAATCCAATCCAAATCCTTCAGAGCCTACCACATAAGACCCTTCTTGCCGCATGTCGCTATCTCCGACATCATACACTACAGCTACTTCCCCATGCTTGTGAAGGTAGCAATGCTGAGTTCTGAATGCATTAAAGAATGTTCCGAGGCACACTTAGCTGGGTTTACTGGGGGTGGCTTTGTCACTGAATGCACAACAGTTACAACAGTGTTGTAACAGCTGCATCGGTATCTTGTGATGAGGTTCATTTGACTCGGGATCAGCCTGTGGAGGTACATATCTGCTGCTCAGTTCCGACTGACATACTGGTGGGCGAGTCTTCCTGCGTTTTAAATGCAGAACCCCAAACTATCTATCTTATCCTCACTTCTTTTCGCTCACTTAACCCACCCTAGGGAGAGAATACCAAGGGCATGGTAGAAGCGGATGGCCAAACAAAGCTCAACAGAGCAGGAGGATGGCCGAATGCTTGTTCGGCGCCCGTATTACTAAGGACTTTCGAAACGGAAGACGGACAAATTTGGGATGCCCGTACTATGGGATACAACAGGAGGACGGCCGAAATGCACCCGGAACGGTGACGCAAACAAAACCATGTGGTGGCAATCCATGACCGCGAGCCAACCCCTTTAATATAGATAATATATATCTGTATTCTGACTTCCTTCAATACGCTTGTAGTTACGTGGTTTCTTTATCAAGTAGCTTTATGAGACAGGTGTAAGATCAAAGCCAGACTGTCCACATTGCACGAGGCCACTGTCCCACAGCCTTGCTAAATGAGTCTTCTCAAACAAACATAGAAAGAAAGGAGCCTTACACATTGTCTGCAACAATATGGGCAAAAGTGCTGGAAACAGCGGGTTCAATAACAAGAGCGACCTCTTCGAAGATTTTAGGGGTGTAAGCTTCCTCCCCGTTCTGGTAGATGACCTCTCTAAACCGCGAAATCCTTTTGTCGGCCCCATGCACTTCGGTTAGGTTCTGGAGCCCTTTGAGCGTGTGACTTTCGCGGTTAACCTGGTGGGCTATCCTTACACTGCGCTCGATGACTTTGACAGCAACTACTTCGCCTTTCCTATTAGTTGCCGAGAAGACTTTGCCATATGCTCCTCTCCCAAAGGAACTTGCAACCGTCCAGGCGCCAAGGCGCTAGCGACTCTGGCCGGAAGCCAGAATTATCCGAACTGTGGGCTGTGCGCATCTCGGCTAACCTTTTACAGTTTTCTTGTTCATCTTTATTGAAAGGCTTGGTGTTTTCTTGTTGTTTATGTTTAGCAACGAGGGCGTTGACTTGTGAAATTATGGCGAGAGCTCCGTACGGCTCTCATGGAGTTATGGACAAGCCAGGGTTGAATGGCTTTCACCTGAGCTGACGGGGCAGTTCTCCCTTAATGCGACGGAAAAGGGACACTGCATGAGCAACCAGCACGACGCGGAAACCTGATGCAGAAGTAGGGACTGTCGATATCAAACCCAGCTGGGTCTTACCTTGGCCCATACCGCCCCTGTTCTCATTTGTAGATTTGGTGGAAAGGCCGTCCTCTTCAGGGCATCCCCGCGCCGCACTGTGAAAAGGTTTGGCCTGGCGGCAGAAGCTCGAATATGTTAATAGTGAACGACATTGTTGGCCTCCATGCCGACATCCCCGGATTTTTCGAAGCTTTTTTTGGGAATATCGCGGGTCTTGATGTGAACGCACGTGCCGTCTTAGGTAGTCTCCAGGAGGAAGAGAGCCCGCTGTATGATGAAGAGAGGGGATGGGAGGGCTGGCCGGAGCATGCAATGGAAAAGATGTGCTCAAGTGATTGGCTGATGTCATCAGAGAGCTCATGCAGCTTGTGGAGGCACATAATTCTATGCTAAAGATTGACTGAAGGCTGCTTGCGCAGCCCACTCAGCCTCTGGAAGGATCCATCGCGGCGTGGAAACTTGATATTGGTTTTGTTGATGACCTGGATGCCACCAAAGACTCCAGATGCGGGTGGTCCTGGATTCTCATCCTGGGGGAACTGAAAAACAACTGAAAATACAACAGCCCATCAAGCACATGGCTTGATCTAGGGAGATATGCCAGGGAGGTCTTAGTGGGCCAGGATTCATGGCATTATATTCTGGGGTTTACCCTCTGCGGGCCCTTCCTACAATTGTGGGTGTTTGACTGACTTGAAGGGATAGTGTCAGAAAGCTTTGATGTCAATAAGAAGGGTCTCTGCTTTGTGTCTGATTCTTGCGTTACTCCAGATGGACTGCAAGCAGCTTGGATTTGACCATATCATCATCACCCACAGAACAGAATGCTGTATTGAGATTATGAAGGATGGTATGAAAGAACAACTAGTGATTGATGGAGTTATCAGATGTGCATGCTGTATTGCTGGTTGGGCCATGATGTGTTGGAAAGTGCATCATGCAGACAAACCAGATACACCACTGATAGTCAAAAATTCATGGCAATATCTGGAACATGATGAGGAAGGGCAGCTTCTGTGCGAAGCAACTGAGTGTGAGGTCACCAATGTTGCTTGATACTATCATCATGAGACCATCTATGTTGGTGGTAAGCTGGATGATATCTTGGGCATTTGAAGAAGTTTATGTATTCTGACAAGGAACCAGAAGAGGACTGCTTCAAAGGTTGTCAGTAATCAGAGCTGGTTCTGTCAAACACATCAAGATTCAAGCAGCACCACTGGGTGAAAACAGTCTTCTGATCATGTCAACACAAGCTTTCCTCCACCACCCAGCAAACATATAAAGTCAAGCTCACCCACAAAGCTACTGGCCAGTGATAAGCCACTGAATCAGGTTCACTGTTGTGTTGTTGTCTGAGACTACAGGAAATCTATCTTTAAGAGTAGCTCAAGGGTCTCTCTGCTAATTGGGATGGAGGGCTGCATCAAAGGGTACATGTCCCTATATAAAAAAGAAGGCCTGATTCAAAGCAACATCTCTCCTCAAACCTACTGGTGAATGAAGACAAGAATAACTCTTTCTGCTGGGTCTTTCTGATTGACCTTGACCTTGCCATCAGAGCAGAACAGGACAGATCCTCTGGGGCTCAAGAAAAGACTGGTACTAGGGCATTCATGGCAATCAGTGTGCTTTACAGTGAGAAACACTCATTCATGCATGACCTTGAGTTATTTTTCTGGGTTCTCTTCTGGATCTGAATACTTTCCCCATACCAGAGGTGAAAAGGCCTATAGCAGCTTTTGCATCTTCAACTACTTGATCCAGGCTGGGATTGTCAATTAACATGAAGGAGCTGAACTGGCTCAGTATGTCTTCCTCCTCATCAGTACAGTCAGCACCTAGGACTATCAAGATTTTAATGTGTGAGGATTGTACATGTGGATCAGTGTGACAATGAATCTCTAGGAGAAATATACATGAAAAAAGAGTATGTGAGGTAAAAGGTCTATATTCTGGTAACTATATACAACTTGTAAACAAGATTACCACTGGCTTCCAGCAAGAGATTTGTACAGTGACAGTCTTTTATGTGTGCTTACAAGTATATAACTTAGTATCTTACAAGAACACATGTAACTTTCAGCAGCTCACAAGCTGAGATCTCTAATCTTTACAGATACTGTTTATCTGTGTAAGAGATTTACAGTAAATTCTTACAGATTCTTCTTTCTTGTAAACTTTGATCTCTCAAGACAGCTGTCTCATTAAAAATCTTCATAAGTAGAAAAATAAAAAAAATCTCTTAAGAAAAATAAAAATTTTCTTATAAGAAAAAGAGTACAGTCTCACTAGAGATATGATATTAATACAACTCTAATAATACAACAGAACTCAATAACATAATAATATATAGAGAGTTTTTATTGTTCTTGCTAGTTCTGTATCACTATTAAATAATAAACACTAGCTTAAGAGAGAGCTTTCTCTTGCTTTCTCTTTCTCTTCTTTTCTTCTCTTTCTTCTCTAGTCTATATTATTATTATCAAGATAAGTGAATTCTTCAAGCACTGCTTCACATGGGAGATAGACTTATAGAAGATCTCTGATGTTCTGGAAGAAAAAATAACTACATCTCAACACTCTATCTATCTGGTCACAAGATCACAAGTTGGTGAGTTCATCTCTGATTGTGTCTTTACTTCACATGGTTATAAGATTTGTCTTTGCATAAGATTTAGTTTGTGGAGAGACTGATGTATGCTAGTTACTGTCAGTTTATTCTCTCCTCTCTTCTTCTCTCATAAGTTATCTTCACTTTTCTCTCTCAAAAGGATGCCCACACCCTCTTTCTTCAAAAAAGAGATGTTCAGGTCTTTAGTAAGTATTTCTTGCAAACTTGAGAAGTGTTCACAACTAACAGTTCTAAAGTATTATTACTCTCTCTTTCTCTTCTTCATCAGTTACTGTTATTCTCTCTGTACTAGTTCAAGCTGTAAGTGCCTTCTGCAAGCTGACACTAATTCATATACTGATGAAGTTAAAGTTCTGCCACTCTGTCTCTCTCTCTTATAGTTATTACTGCTCCAGTCCTGGCCAGAAATATAAGTATTCTCTATTATATTTCAGTTTACAGCTAATCTTCTCTAGATTGTTGTTGTCATTCCCCCTGCTTCAGCAGGATTTATGGATGCTATGATCTTACAGAGTGCTTGAGACTGTTCAGTATCCCCCTCACAAGATTAATAATAGTGGTCCCAGACCATCTTTATCTAATTATCACCAGCTGCTACTTTTGCTGATGTATTACAGATTAATCTGGTGGGTCTTTCAGATCTCTCTCTTTATACAGAGACACAAGCTTTATCTATCTATAAAAGAGCATGATGTTGCAAGTCTATTTAAAGATCTGTGCTTATTGCTGGTTTGAATAATTTA